ATAAGATTAAGATATCCAGAAAATATACATTGTGTTGAATCAAAATTTAGATCATAAAGATCACCTAACAGTGTTTGAATATTTAGTAGAATTAACATTGTTGAACAAAGAAAAATACAAAGATAAATATTAGCACATAAAATCAAAGTAATTTTTTCTTCTTGTTTTATTCGATGATTATGTTGATGATAAATAATAATAAAGAAGACAATAGCTGACATTATACTAGCTATTGACCCATGAATGATTGTAAGTAAAGGCAATATAAAATCTGTTGTGAGAGTTGTCTCGTTATTCATTGTTGAAGTAAATGAGATTTATAAATATCTTTACATTATAAATAATTCTTCATTAGCATTATCAAAATGGAAAATATAATCATCTTTTAACACGTGTCAAAGATGAACGAATAGTTCATCTATTATAGTTGTATATTGATGGAAATCTTTAATATCAAAGAGTGGGTGTGACAGATTTTGCATAAATGAGATTATTTATTTTTCTTCGTAAAAGATTTCTATTAATTAATATAAAAAATGTGTAAACAGATGATAACAACATTAATGTTTTTCTTTGATTAAAAAAACTCTGCAGAATGAATTAACTGTCAGCAATAAAAATGGTCTATCACAAATAAGAATAGAATGAGCATTTTAGACACATCATTCTGAAAGTATTCTTCAAGTGAGTCTCCAGATCAAAATATGCCTGGAATATTAGAATTCTTTCTTAGACATATGAATGAAAGATTTAATAATACATGTAAATATTTCAAAATAAATGCGGAAACTTCGGATTTTATCCGAGAGCTATGTGTACTGCAAAAAGTGTTTATAAAAATCACAGGGAAATATCAGTATTTTTGCAATAACTCGGGAATGGCTAGTTCAATTAGGCTCATCTTCGAACTCGATCGAGATGTTGATGAGACCAAATTGTGTAGAAAATTTCATCACAATCTGACTCTCCTTTCGAAAGTTATCGTGTATACGGACGACCGGACGGACACACTGACCGATTCTAGAGTGTACTCACTTTTTGAGTACACAAAAATAATAAATTTAGTGAAAACAAATAATTCATAAATCGTTCATCAAATTAAAAACATGTCATAGGAATCATTAAAAAAAGTACTAAGTGAAGCTCATAATTTATAACTTTTAAATCTTTGAGTTTCAACTATTTTTTTCAGTACAAAAATCAAAGTTTTTAGGAAGAATAATTAATTATCATTGTGATTTTTCTTACAAAGAAATGATATTTCAGTATAAAAAAAAATATTAGTAATTTATCTTCAATCAATTTAGAATATAATTTCCTCAGGGTTAAATGTAAATATAGTAAAAACAAATATTCAATTATATATAATTAGTGTTCTGAACTGGATTATTATCTCACATCACTCTACATATAGCCGTGTTGATTTATTAATGAAATATGTAAAGGAGTGAAAAGAACATAATCCTTGATTGAAAAGTCGACTTGTAGAAAGGCTGTTGACAAGTGTCATCATAAAGAAAAATGTCAGATTTGTCAATTTGACATTAATTCAAGATTATCAACCCACTTGAAAATTAATTCATGACATAAATAGTTTAACCAAACTCAATCTTTTCCGATTTTATAAAAGATAATCTAATTTCTTAATTATTCAGTTATTGAAATTAGTAATAAAATAGAGATTTATTATTTTAAATCATGTTTATGATATCCAGAGCATACAGAATCTGTAATAATTATTGTTCAAATGATTTTTTGATGGATTTTCATAGTATCTTGTTATTTTTTACATAATGTCTTCAAACTATTCGTAATTTCAAATGTGCTTGACACTGTATAAAAATCGTAAAAGATTTCAGTTTTCTTGTACTTCGATCTTTAATAAAGCAATAGCCTCTTTCTAGGTTTATCATGCAGTGTGATATTTGGAAAATCTTCTATGAAATATATTTCCAAAGACGATAACTTTTATAACTCATAATGATTTAAGTAATTTATTTTACATCGGTATAATGTGATCACGACAAGATTATAACCTTCAGGGGTATATCAATAACACTGATTGATATTATAACTGATTTAATGAATGTAGGAGGGTGGGTGTAGGTGCTAGGTGAATACAGTATTCACATCCACACCCAACCTAGTTTATTTGATTCTACATATATAATATTATAAGAAAAATGATGAATAAACACAGTTAGAATTAAGTCTGTCGAATAAATGAATTAGTTTTGATATTCTTAATCCTTGTGAGTGGTAATAAGTTTTTGATTATGGGGCAAAATGGCTATCACATGTGTTTTATCATGAGTTACGTGTACATGATTTTAATTTCGATTCCAGCATTGTCCAATGATTTTACGGAGTTCTTTGCGAAAAACTGTACCTGCCAATGTATATAAATAAAAGCTACTTGTATGTGCAAAGTATGTCATTACACCTACAACTCGTGCTGCTAAATTTTCTTGAGCAAGGTGAAGTGTACTTTTCGAAAAATTACCAGTAAATGCTGCGTAGACTTGATAAACAGAGAGTGGTAGAGTAGCAACAATGATCACAAACACCTGAGCAATTAACATGCGTAAAAGTTGATTGTCTGTGCGTCGAACAAGTTGATTTCTTCTAGCTACTGTTGGAACTACTTGACGACGTTGACGAATATTGTTCAATGTAAGAAAACCAAAGAGAAGCATAAAGAAAGATGGGCAAAGTGAATACAAAACCATATACCAGAATCCAAGGTATGTACGATAAATACCATTTCGACCATTACATAACGGTGTGATATTACCAAATCGATCTGATACATTTGTTATTTCATAGTAAACGACCATGTGGCCATACAAAAGAGTTATTGTGACACTTGTAATTACTACTGTCCATCTAGCTATCTTTATCGAACTCATTCGACGAATAGCTGCACTTGCTGAACTGTGACAAAACCGATCAGCACACGCTAAAGCAATGAACCAGCAGGATGTTGAACGTGCTGAATAAAAGGAAAAGTTTGCTATTTTACAAAGGCCAAGATTGTAATTAGTCATATCTATATTAAAACTATTGGCAAGAACACGCAAAGGCATGGCTACATATACAAGATACAAACTGAAACATGTTGACGAAAAAAAATAAAGTGAACTTGGTTCATCACGCAGAGTTGGCCGAGTAAAAATAAAAATATTAAATGTAAGACCGATTGCACCTGATATAATATGGACAGCTGATGCTACCAATACAACTATCGATGTTGCTGCGTTCAGCTGATTAACTGCACTGTTATTGGACGACATACTACCAATATAAACAGTCTTTGTTCAGTATCTGATTGTGTTTATAATCTAAATGTAAGAAAAAAAATGAGTCTTTAGATTATTAAATATATAAGGATTCTTTTTGTAATAAATTCAAGGAAATACAAAATCCTGCTTACAATAAAACTGCAGGCTTTTTATATTCATAATGTTAGCTTCTATTTTCCGGCTACTATAGATTAGTTTAATTTAAACAAAATCTAATTTTTTTCTGTTAGAATAATTATATCATTTTTGTAGCTAGGACAACTATTTCTAAGAAAAAGGCCGGTAGATTAGGATTTTATTAATAAAGAAAATGAAAGATTTAATTTAGTGGATGTGTTACAGTGCATAATTTATTGAATTTATCTGCGTAAAAAAAGTGTCAGAAGAAGCAACGTAAGAACGTCATTTCTTTACTTATCAACTAAAATACATCGATAGCTCAATTTGAGAACAGATGTAAATGAAAAGCCATGTATTTGATATCAACTTGAAAAATGAAAAACTATTACAATGAATTCTTACTGTACCATAGAGTAATCATCAAATAGATAAGATATTATACATACATAATTCAACTATAGAATTCAAAAATAAAAAGAAGCGGAAACGCATAAGATGAAAGATGGTTCTCAAACACTTAAAATTTAGACGAATAGAATTGTTATTCTAATTACAGTTTGAATTTAGTAATGAATACGTCAAAACAGTGTATCATTTAAGAAAATAAACAAAATGCTACAATCATCTGATCTGTTTGTAAAAGAAAGGTTTTTGATTCTGTTATCTTTTATCAATAATATATATCTGACTATACATTCTGTGGCTATTCAAGAAAAACTTAGATATTCAGAATTGTTCATTGACTTCTCATATCCTATATATCATCAAAAAAATGTTAATCTATATAAATTAATATCCCGAAGTGAGCTGTTTTTCTGAAATTACTCAACATTTGGTCGTGTCGGATTATTAATTAAACATCTAGAAAAAGAAAAAAAAGAATAAGAATATTAATTAAAAATCAGGACTTTAGGATTACCTATGGCAAATCTCATTTTAAACAAAAACGTCAGACTTGTCAACTTGATATTGTTCAAAGATGAAGGTCTCAGCTAATATTATTACTTCAAGCGCAAAATGTTAATAATATTAATGAGTGTGAAGTTTGCCGCTCAACTGAAACTGTGATTATATAAACATTAAAACTCAATCTTACTTCTGTTTTTAATTATTATAATTATCTCAAAAACTATGTAGCAATTCAATTTCACTCGCGATTATATATACAACCAAAAATGACTCTGACTAATCTCCTCTTTCATCATTTCACCTTTAAAAAAAGATTCGGTCACGACAGGTTTAACATTTAAAATTGAACAATAAAGGTTTTTGCGTGGCAACATAAATAATCTTCGTACAAGTTTTAGCTCTAGTTTGTCTTCTTTTTAAGTTAATATTTATCATTAAAAACAAGAATCTATTTTTTTTCGATATTTTTTTAAGATGAATCTGAAGAAATATATTAGGGGAAAAATTTAAAATTTTCTCAGTTATAGTGAGCAATAATTAGTATTTTATCCCATTATTGGTATAATGAACTTTAACTTTTTATCGTCCCTTTAAAATATCCTAACAACATTCCTTCTAGTGTACTTTTATCGAAAACAATCTTTTTATAGCAAACGCACGAAATCGTTTAATACTCTCATTTCGTCAATTATCAAATTTTTTAACTATTTCCAGTATCAAACCTCTCTCTTTAGGGAGCTCACTTAAACATATTATTTTGTAAGTGTCAAAAAAATAGCTGTCAAGCATTCTCAAGAAATCACAATAATTTAAAGGTCATATAAAGTTAAAAATTGAAATAATGAGATAAACAATACTGTATACTAGTGTCTAATACAGGCAAAATACTGATTTTTCTATTATACCTGGTTAGAATACACTGTTAAGAGTATTGATGGATTTTGCTCGTAGTGAGAAAAAATTAAACATTGCTTTTTAGATAACAAAAATTAAGGAGGACTGGTTTAGTCAAAAACATATGTCGAAGTGTTTCTCAAGTAGAGATAAATTTTACAACATTCTGTATAATAATTTTATCATATATTTGTTGATACTATAGAATATCATGTTCTAAATGCGATGAAGAATTCAAAAGACAAAACCACTATCTTCAAAAACTCAAAAACTGTTCAGTTAGGACAAAGTACATGACAATTTTTGTAAGTTCAACAAAAGCAGGAAGAATGTTTTATTTGAACGTAAACAAAGCATGGTTTAAAGAAAGCAATGAATTAACATATAAAACTAGGTTTCTAGTTCAACAATTTTATTATTATTACAGTGGCGCTTCATTGTATGTGTTAGTTAGTTTTCGATTGAAAGGCACAACAGTCGTCAAACGTGTTTCGCCTTAGGTAGTTGACACAATATCTCGAGTTGGATGACAACATCGCAGAACGATTCTATGGAATTCTTTACGAAATACTGTACCTGTCAATGTATATAAATAAAAGCTAGTTGTATGAGCAAAATTTATGAAAGAGCCCGTAACGCGACCTGCAAAATTTTCTTGAGTAATTCGAAGTGTGTCTTTTTGAATGTTACTGGTGAATCCCGTATACAATAGATAAATTGAGTATGGCAAAGTCGAAATGAAGACCATGAGCACTTGAGCAATTAACATACGCAAAAGCTGATTGTCTGTACGTCGCACAAGTTGATTTGTTCCAGCTACTGTTGGAACTACTTGACGATGTTGACGGATATTTTTCAATGTAAGAAGACCAAAAAGAAGCATAAAGAAAGATGGACAAAGTGAATATAAAGCCATAAACCAGAATGCAATAAAGGTACGGTACGTACCTATTTGACTATTGCAAGTGGCCACAGTATTACCGAATTGGTTGAGTGTATAGCTTAGTCCATAGTAAACAAGCATGTGACTATATAATATCATAATGCTTAGAATTACAATTCCTACTCCCCATCTAGCTTTCTTTAACGAGCTCATTCGACGAATAGTTGCATTTGTTGAACTGTGACAAAAACGATCAACACATGCTAATACAATTAACCAACAGGTTATTGCACGTGACGAATAATTGACAAAATTTATTATTTTGCAAACTCCATTATTATAACTTGAAATATCTATATTGTATCCAAAGGCAAGAACACGAATAGGTACCAGCACATATACAATAAATAAATTGAAAGATGATGACCAGAAAAAATAGACTGAGCATGGTTCACGACATAGAGATCGTCGAGTAAAAATTATTACATTGAATATGAGGCTTACTGCACCTAACGCAAAACAGACAATTGTTAGAACCATTACAATTGTCGTTGTTGCTGCATTAGGTTGATTAATCGTAGTGCTAGTAGACGACATATTATTGATATAGCCAATTTAGTTTAAATATATATTTGTGATTACAATCTAAAAATAACAAAGCAAATATGACTATCAGATCAAAGTTTGATAACATCATACGAATCTGTACTTTATTAAACATTACTTTTTCTAATAGTCTAACAAGCGTACAATATTCTACTGATGATGTTACCTCCTATATCCTAACAGTCGACAATGATTCTATTTTCAATGGATATCTTTTCTTCTACTGAAATGACTAGTCTTCAGAAAAGAATTTTTATGAATAAGCTTCATCATTCAGAAGAATTAGGAATGAGATGTTTTTTTCTATGCGTATATTCACAGATCTTTTAATTTGCTTTTAGAAAAAAAGACATTGACAGATACAAAGTCTCATGCTCATTAGGGGTGTTAATTTATTTTTATTTTTCATTATAATAAAGAAAAAAGTAAAGAAAATTTTTATCTTTTTTTTTGCAAAGAATAAAGAATAAAGAAAATATTTTCAAGTGATCGCTAAACAGATAAATAATTGATATAAAAACAGATAATATTGATCGTCGTTTTCTCCTGTCACCAGCCATATTCTAATATGAAATAATGCTAGCAAATGAATGTGAGGCATAAAAGATCTATGGAAAAAACTTCCCTCCAGAATCATTTAAGCCTGCGTCGTTATAGTATTTGGCGACTTACCTCGAAAAGATAAAGTTTTGGATTTTTAAGAAGAAAAAAGTTCTTTATTCTTTATTTTAACTTTATGTTTTAAAATAAAGTAACTTTTTCTTTATCTTTATTCTTTATAAAGTAAAGATAAATTAACACCCCTAATGCTCATGCGTCACATGAGATTTTCGAGATCTACAAATTAATTCATTTTTTATATTAAAATTACTTAACCATATTAATTTTTTTAACGACGGAGGTTGATGACTCTTACAAAAAAAAATGAATATCATGTTGAAAAAAATCATTAACTATTCAATTTAAAAAGAAACATAGATGAAGATCTATATCTTCAATTTTAATTGAAAAACTGTAAAATATCTTATAATTAGTGCTACGGTTAGGAAGAGAGAAAATAGAAAGCATAATTATATTAGTAAAATTCAAGTTCAGACCTTAATTGTAATAAATGAGAAACATATTAGCTAAAATTCAATTGAAATATAAGAGAGATAGAAAACCTGAGGGTAGGTTTTATGACACATTTCATAATAAAAATCTGAATAACACCGTTGCCGTAAGCACGGCAAAAGACAAAAAAGTTATTCTAATTAGAGTTTCAGTTTGACATCAAAAGGCAAATGCACAAATCCATTAATGTGTTAAAGATTCCATAGGACGCAGATAAGGGGTGGGTGTGAATAAAGTACAATACCCACACCTACTCTCAACATGGTTTTAGTTTCAATCAGTTAGATCAATTCTCCCGCTATCATTTAAAATAAAACTTTAAAGAACATATTAACATATTATTAAAAAATCTATTAAAATGATTGAGTTGTATAAGAGATATTTGAAATAACTATCCGAAGAGAGTTTTGGATTACCCTGTATATACAATTTATTTATATAATAAAATCAAAAGAAAATTATATATAGAAATGCTACAATATGTCACGGTCTAAATATCTATTTAGGATTGATCGTCGCAGTGTATCGTGATCGTCGAAATAAAAGTAAACCTTTCCATTGCAGCTTTTTGCGCATTTCGGAGAGAGTGCTAAGACAGACAAATGGAAATAGAAGAGTAACGAAATAACAGAGATAATTAGCGTAAACTTGTACATCTGCACCAAAGTGATAGGGTAGACCGCAAATATGACCAAAAATAATAAGATTGAGTGGAACATTCGCCGCTAAATATAAAATACAGATAGAGAATAACTGAATTGTCATTTTACGTTGTCTACGCCATCGATTAGCTCGATTAAGACGTCGTTTTTGAATATAAACACGAGCCAGTACAATTATACTAAAAATAGTAATTATTGTAGTTGGTATAATACTATTTATAACTGTGTCCCATATACCAAGTAAAGGTATATCTAAATAACATGGATACTCACCACAAACAGGTAAGGTATAATCATACGTATTTGAACATGGTGGAAATATTATTACAACTATATAAAATATAAAGATATATAGGATCAATATGAAAAGAGGCATCGTGTGATAAAGAAAACGCTTTTTTGCAATCAAAAATAATCGATCATGAAATATCAATAAATAACGATGAATAGAACCCCATGCCATAATTATAACGCATCCATTATATATTCCTGTATCTACAAACCACCA